TCTCAATGAGCCCGAGTTGACCCAAGCAGCCGGTTTGCTGGCGCGTGCAGTGAAGCATGGTCAGGAAAGCCTGATTCTGCGGAAGTACACCCATGAGCCTGGCCACAACAAGGCCATCGCCTCAACAGCAGACCATGTCATGAAGGAGATTGGAGAGATGCTTGGAAAGCGAGACCGTGAAGTTTCGCCGGGTCCTATGCCCTCAGCTGGCACAGATGATTCAGACATGGAGCGCCGTGACGCCTGGTGGAAGCTATATGGGGAACCTTGGCTATGCACCTCCGATGCCAGCCCAGGATTTGTCTTCTCATGCCCATCCATTTGAGAATACGAAGATTCCTCTGCCAGCAGGTGTGGATTCCGTCCGTGAATGGGATGGTTTCAATGTCGGAATATGACACTGGGATTAATGACTATTTGACGTTCATCATTTCAAAGCTTGGCACGAAGAACACAGGACAGCTTCCAGAAAAGATCACTCCAGGTGTTGACCATGCCACCTACTTAGAGCGTGTGAAGTTTCAAGATGGCGCAGGCATTGAAAAGTCAGCAATTTTCCAGCGCGAGCTGCGCAAGTAGCTGTGGATAGATTTGAGCTCGGCATGCATCCATGAGGGCGTGTTGAAATGCAATCGCATTTGCATGTCCATTTTGGTCATTTGGATGATGTATGCTGCCGTTGCCCTTTTACCATTCAAGGGCCCTTGAGCCGTTGGAACATACGGCTGATCCTGAGGCGGTGGTGAAAACCTTGTGGCGCGTTGCGCATTTCCTTTCTTCATTTGTGGATTGAACCCCCATTGTCATCCTTGGGTTTTCTCGTTCGCCACATATACACAGAAAATTGTGAAGAGTGGCGTAAATCACCAAACAACAGAAACGCCTTCCAAACAAAGTTTTGTCATGTGCTAGGCTTCCTTTTTTACCTTTAATTCGAAAAATCACAAGAAAGTGGAAAAAAAGGACCCTTCGGAGCCATTTTGACGCATATACACGGCAAATTGTGAAGATTAGATAAGATTAGCATAAATCACCAAACAACAGAAACGGCTTCCAAGCCATGTTTTGACATGTTCTAAGCCTACTTTTTCAACTTTAATTCCAGCAACTAGGAAAAAAGTGAAAGAAAAGTACCCGTCGGAGCCATTTTGATGCATATACACAGCAAATTGTGAAGATTAGATCAGGTTAGCATAAATCACCAAACAACAGAAACGGCTTCCAAGCCATGTTTTGACATGTTCTAAGCCTACTTTTTTCAATTTTAATTCCAGCAACTAGAAAAAGTGAAAGAAAAGTTCCCGTCGGAGCCATTTTGATGCATATACACGGTAAATTGTGAAGATTAGATCAGATTAGCATAAATCACCAAACAACAGAAACGGCTTCCAAGCCATGTTTTGACATGTTCTAAGCCTACTTTTTCAACTTTAATTCCAGCAACTAGAAAAAAGTGAAAGAAAAGTACCCGTCGGAGCCATTTTGATGCATATACACGGCAAATTGTGAAGATTAGATAAGATTAGCATAAATCACCAAACAACAGAAACGGCTTCCAAGCCATGCTTTGACATGTTCTAAGCCTACTTTTTTCAACTTTAAATCCAGCAACTAGAAAAAAAAGTGAAAGAAAAGTACCCGTCGGAGCCATTTTGATGCATATACACGGCAAATTGTGAAGATTAGATCAGATTAGCATAAATCACCAAACAACAGAAACGGCTTCCAAGCCATGTTTTGACATGTTCTAAGCCTACTTTTTTCAACTTTAATTCCAGCAACTAGAAAAAAAAGTGAAAGAAAAGTACCCGTCGGAGCCATTTTGATGCATATACACGGAAAATTGTGAAGATTAGATCAGATTAGCACAAATCACCAAACAACAGAAACGGCTTCCAAGCCATGTTTTGACATGTTCTAAGCCTACTTTTTTCAACTTTAATTCCAGCAACTAGAAAAAAAGTGAAAGAAAAGTACGCGCCGGAGCCATTTTGATGCATATACACGGTAAATTGTGAAGATTAGATCAGATTAGCATAAATCACCAAACAACAGAAACGGCTTCCAAGCCATGTTTTGACATGTTCTAAGCCTACTTTTTTCAACTTTAATTCCAGCAACTAGGAAAAAAGTGAAAGAAAAGTACCCACCGGAGCCATTTTGATGCATATACACGCCGAATTGTGAAGATTAGATCAGGTTAGCATAAATCACCACACAACAGAAACGGCTTCCAAGCCATGTTTTGACATGTTCTAAGCCTACTTTTTTCAACTTTAATTCCAGCAACTAGAAAAAAAGTGAAAGAAAAGTACCCGTCGGAGCCATTTTGATGCATATACACGCCAAATTGAAGATTAGATAAGATTAGCATAAATCACCAAACAACAGAAACGGCTTCCAAGCCATGTTTTGACATGTTCTAAGCCTACTTTTTTCAACTTTAATTCCAGCAACTAGAAAAAAAGTGAAAGAAAAGTACCCGTCGGAGCCATTTTGATGCATATACACGGCAAATTGTGAAGATTAGATCAGATTAGCATAAATCACCAAACAACAGAAACGGCTTCCAAGCCATGTTTTGACATGTTCTAAGCCTACTTTTTTCAACTTTAATTCCAGCAACTAGAAAAAAGTGAAAGAAAAGTACCCGTCGGAGCCATTTTGATGCATATACACGCCAAATTGTGAAGATTAGATCAGATTAGCATAAATCACCAAACAACAGAAACGGCTTCCAAGCCATGTTTTGACATGTTCTAAGCCTGCTTTTTTCAACTTTAATTCCAGCAACTAGAAAAAAAGTGAAAGAAAAGTACCCGTCGGAGCCATTTTGATGCATATACACGGCAAATTGTGAAGATTAGATCAGATTAGCATAAATCACCAAACAACAGAAACGGCTTCCAAGCCATGCTTTGACATGTTCTAAGCCTACTTTTTTCAACTTTAATTCCAGCAACTAGAAAAAAGCGAAAGAAAAGTACGCGTCGGAGCCATTTTGATGCATATACACGGTAAATTGTGAAGATTAGATCAGATTAGCATAAATCACCAAACAACAGAAACGGCTTCCAAGCCATGTTTTGACATGTTCTAAGCCTACTTTTTCAACTTTAATTCCAGCAATTAGGAAAAAAGTGAAAGAAAAGTACCCGTCGGAGCCATTTTGATGCATATACACGGCAAATTGTGAAGATTAGATCAGATTAGCATAAATCACCAAACACCAGAAACGGCTTCCAAGCCATGTTTTGACATGTTCTAAGCCTACTTTTTTCAACTTTAATTCCAGCAACTAGAAAAAAAGTGAAAGAAAAGTACCCGTCCCAGCCATTTTGATGCATATACACGGCAAATTGTGAAGATTAGATCAGATTAGCATAAACCACCAAACAACAGAAACGGCTTCCAAGCCATGTTTTGACATGTTCTAAGCCTACTTTTTTCAACTTTAATTCCAGCAACTAGAAGAAAAGTGAAAGAAAAGTACCCACCGGAGCCATTTTGATGCATATACACGCCAAATTGTGAAGATTAGATAAGATTAGCATAAATCACCAAACAACAGAAACGGCTTCCAAGCCATGTTTTGACATGTTCTAAGCCTACTTTTTTCAACTTTAATTCCAGCAACTAGGAAAAAAGTGAAAGAAAAGTACGCGTCGGAGCCATTTTGGTGCATATACACGGCAACTTGTGAAGATTAGATCAGATTAGCATAAATCACCAAACAACAGAAACGCCTTCCAAATAAATTTTTGCCAGGTTCCAAGAATCACAAGAAAAGTGAAAACGGTTTCCGTCGGAGCCATTTTGATGCATATAATTTCCACCTCCTTTTACTAAACGTACTCCAAATATGCATTTGAATTTTAATTGATCAGGTCCCATTTCAGGGTTTCACCCCCTAATAATAAAAACTAATTGTTCTTGCCGGGTGCTTTTTTGTTGGGGCCCGTCTTGAAGATCGGAAAAAAAATATTAACATGTTTAATCTAATATTAGGGGAAAGCTTGGAAATCCAATTTGGGCAATATTTTAATTAGATTTTAAAAGGAAATCTAATCAATTTCGAAATAGAACAAATTAGTCTTTTATATTAGGGTTTTTAATTTAATCTTAGGGGAAAGAGCTTCGAAATCTAATTTTTGGCCATATTTTACTTAGATTTTAAACGGAAATCCAATCGATTTTGAAATAGACAATTTTTGTTCTTTGTTCTAGGGTTCTTAATTTAATATTGGGGGAGAGCTTCGAAATCCAATTTGTAGCAATATTTTAACTAGATTTGAAAGGAAATCTAATCGATTTTGATATAGAAAATTTTAGTTGTTTATATTAAAGTTGTTGATTTGATATTTGGGGAAGCTTCGCACCCTAATACTGAGTACCCCCTAATTCTAAAAACTCCTCCAGGTGTTTATTATTTGGGGGAAGGACGGGGGACCGTTTGGCAACAGGGGGAAGGGATTACAAGGCAAATTGGGAAGATTAGCATAAATCACCAAAACAACAGCAACATCTTCCAAACCATGTTGCGGCGATATTCTAAGTCCCCTTGTGCCTACATTCGCCAAAAAATCCAAAAAGTATTCGTAAAAATACCGAAAAAGCCATTTCGATGCATATACGCGGCAAATTGTGACGATTAGCCAAAAAAAGAAAAAAAAACTTGCGCTACGGGTACTTCGCGGTAGACGGGTACTTTTGTTAAACGATATTCTAAGTTTCGGTCCGTCTCTATATATAGGGTGACCGACTTACACTTTATAAGCTGGATATGTGTTAAAATTGCGGTAGGTTCTAAGTGTTAATGTAAAAAATCATGATTTGGTTATCAGTGTTGACTTGTTTGGGTTCTAAGTGTACACTTAGAACCTGGTCGATATCAATTTGCCGCTATTTTTTCCAAAACGAATGCATCACTGTTTCATATTCCACAAGCTTGGGAGCGCTACCAGCCCTGGAGGCTTTCATGGCAAGCTGAGCATCCACGCTTCTCTTCCAGGGAAACAGATGCCTGAAACGACGCCGACATCAGCAGTTTTCCATGGCTTTCCATCACTTTCCAATACCTTCCAATACCACTGCAATAAATTGCAATAATCTGTAATATCAGCATGATTTTGAAGCCATCAGAAAGCCTGCCACTCAGTAATCAAAACATGGCACAATTTGTGTCTGAACTCGAAGGATGTTGCAGATAGGACAGCAAATTGTTCATTTTTCAAAAATGTTCAAAGCATTGGCGTAGACTATGGCGTAGACAAACATCTGAAAACATCTGAACCAAGTTCCTTTCAGATCAGCGAAGACTGCGAGCCTTTCGAGTGGCTGAGACCTGGTGGCATTGCAACATGGGATGGCCATTGACGGTCAAATGTCTTCAAGCACTTCAGTGTGTTCAAGTCTGTTCGAGGCCGTTGGCAGGTGTCCTGTGCTCTTGTCAGCCGTTTAACCAATGGCGGCCACCTACCAGTTGAGTATTGCTTGTGCACATTGTGTCGAATTGAATGCCTCAGTCTAAACCTTCTTCTATACATCAATCATGCAATGAATAAACATGAACCATGCAGCTGGGTGCTTGGTATCCTTCGGTCTCTATCCTGGTGCTGAATCAAACATAATCAAACACGTTGATAAAGACCTACGTCGCTTTTCCACGCATTGTCAACGTCTGCGCCTCATCATCCAAACGTCGCTGCAACCTCTGGGCGAAGAGTTTACTTTCGCTTACTCTCGGACGAACCTCAAGATGCCCGTGAGAAATCTATAGAAAGAAATCTATATAGAATCCCTGAAAATGCCTCTGATCATTTTCGATACCTTCCTGACATATCCTATCCCAAATCTCCCAAATCTCCCAAATCTCCCTGCCGGGAGAATCCACATCACCAGCAAATGAGCGCCTTCCAGCTAGATCTTGGGCAGTGACCTCCAGAAGGAACAAAACTTGAACGAAGCTTGGCAAAACATGGCCAAGCTGCCTGAAGTCATCCAGTGACGGTTGCACAAACAATATACTGCCAAGATCGAGCAACATCGCTGAAAGGCTGACAGCCTGCAACAAATCTGAAACTCCAAGAAGAAAAGAAAATTGAAGCACAAAATTGTTTACCAATTTCGCATGTATGTGTATATACATATATATATATATATATACGTACTGATATTCTAACAGGCCGCCAAATGTGACTGGATTGGTGACATCTGCTGGGCTCCACCGTGTCTGCTTCCAACTTCTTCACAGCTTCACGCAAATCCTTGCACGGGTGATTTTTGGGACATCACATTTGCAAGATATTTCATTAGATCACATCATATCACATCATATCACATCGCGTTAATATGTGTTAATGATCAGTATACTGATCTACCGTCGGATCCAGCTGCCAAGCTGACTATGCCGACTCCTGATTCAGGTTGCAAAGAATCAAGCCTCAATTGTCCGTTTGTACGTTCATTTCAACCAGTTCAAGATAGTTTAAGTTAACCATTTGGGTCCTTGAAGTCTCGTGGAAGCGACACTGGCACAATGGTTCGCAACCTGCTAAGGCTCCATTGAAGCCGGAAGCAAGGTCTAGTCCTCTAAAACATATCAAAACTGTGTCAAGCTGCGTGAACAAAAGACCCACAAAAGCAATAACAAATCAAACTTGTGAAACGAAAAATATGCTAATGAAACGCTTGGCAACGAGGAGACTGCGTCTGCTGCTGCGGAGCTTGCTTTGTGAACTTTGACCACCTCAAGAATGTTGAAAAAACAAGTCATGTGAGTTTCAGGGCTGGATTCACAGTGTGAAGGCAAACCGCGACAAACTCTTCAACTTGGTGACCAATCACAAAATCTGACACGGTTCGTTTACGGCGGCATCGTGGTGTATGCATGTATGCATCCTTCTGCAGTCCAGAAACATCATCCAAACTTTTCTGGAAGTCTGACCTCAACGTAGACACCTGGAAGTTTCTTTGCCAAACGGCGCTAACTACCAAACAGCTACCTGTCATTAGACAAATGTGGGGAGATCATGGAAGATCCTATTTGGGACGCTCTCGGAACTCAAGAGTTTCTGTTTCGAGTCGGCTGGCTGCAAAGCAGGAAGTCCCACAAAGTTCTATACAGTCCCCGGTGGTTTTACACATGTTCATGTGTTTTTCATTGCTTTTCATTGCTTTTCATTGCTTTTCATTGCCTTTTGATGTTTTTTGTCTTTCATCAAATGCCATGACTCATCCCCATCATGTACCGACTCAATGCCCGAAGGCCTGCGATTCCAAGGTCTTCAGTCGATCTTCCAAGGCCTCAGAGCATCGACAACTTGACAGCGGAGAAAAACAGAATCATCGATAGAAATCGAAAAAGATAGCCGAGAATGGACACTAAAAACACTATAGACACTGACCATAGTCACATATAGTCACGTACAGTCACAAACAGGCACATATAGTCACATACAGTCACATACAGTCACACGCAGGTACATTTAGTCACATACAGTCACATACAGGTACATTTAGTCACATACAGCCACAGACAGGCACATAAAGTCACATACGGTAACACACATGCGCATATAGTTACATACAGTCACAAACAGGCACATATAATCACATACAGTCACAAACAGGCACATATAGCCACATACAGTCACAAACAGGCACATATAGTCACATACAGTCACATGCAGTCACGCAGGTACATTTAATCCCATACACTCACACGCAGGTACATTTAGTCACATACAGTCACACGCGGGTACATTTAGTCACATACTGTCACACACAGGCACATAGTCACATACGGTAACACACAGGCGCGCATAGTTACATACAGTCACACACAGGCACATATAGACACATATATAGTCACATACAGTCACACGCAGGCACATGTAGTCACATACAGTCACATACAGTCACACACAGGCACATATAGTCACATACAGTCACACACACAGACACGCACAGGCACATAAAGTCACATATAGTCACACACAGGCACATACAGTCACATACACTCACATACAGTCACATATAGTCACATACAGTCACATACAGTCACACACAGGCACACACAGTCACACACAGGCACATATAGCCACATACAGTCACACACAGGCACACACAGGCACATGCCACACACAGTCACATACAGTCACACACAGGCACATAGAGTCACATACAGTCACACACAGGCACATATAGTCACACACTACATATAGTTACATATAGTCACATACAGTCACATATAGTCGCATATAGTCACATACAGTCACACACACAGACACGCACAGGCACATAAAGTCACATATATAGTCACACACAGGCACATATAGTCACATACACTCACATACAGTCACATATAGTCACATACAGTCACATACAGTCACACACAGGCACACACAGTCACACACAGGCACATATAGCCACATACAGTCACATACAGTCACACACAGGCACATAAAGTCACATACAGTCACATGTCACACGCAGGTACATTTGGTCATGAACAGTCACATACAGGTACATTTAGTCACATACAGTCACACACAGGCACATAAATTCACATACGGTAACACACATGCGCATATAGTTGCATACAGTCGCAGACAGGCACATATAGTCACATACAGTCACGCAGGTACATTTAGTCACCTACACTCACACGCAGGTACATTTAGTCACATACAGTCACACGCAGGTACATTTAGTCACATGCAGTCACACACAGGCACATAGTCGCATACGGTAACACACAGGCACATATAGTTACATACAGTCACACACAGGCACATATAGACACATATATAGTCACATAAAGTCACACACAGGCACATGTAGTTAAATACAGTCACACACAGGCACATATAGTCACACACAGGCACATATAGCCACATACAGTCACATACAGTCACACACAGGCACATATAGTCACACACAGTCACACACAGGCACATATAGCCACATACAGTCACACACACGCACATATAGTCACATACAGTCACATGCAATCACACACAGGCACATACACTCACACATAGTCACATACAGTCACATACAGCCACACACAGACACCCACAGTCACACACAGGCACATGTAGCCACACACAGACACACACAGGCACATATAGCCACATACAGTCACATACAGTCACACGCAGGTACATATAGTCACGTTCAGTCACACACAGGCACATATAGTCACACACGACATATAGTCACACACAGTCACACACAGGCACATATAGCCACATACAGTCACATACAGTCACACACAGGCACATACAGTCACATACAGCTACATACAGTCACATATAGTCACACACAGGCACACACAGTTACATACAGGCATATGTAGTCACATACAGTCACATACATGCACATATAGTCACATACAGTGACATAGAGTCGCATATAGTCACACGCAGGTACATTTGGTCACATACAGTCACATACAGGTACATTTAGTCACATACAGTCACACACAGGCACATAAAGTCACATACAGTCACATACAGTCACATACAGTCACATATAGTCACATATAGTCACATACAGTCACACACAGGCACATATAGTAATACAGTCACACACAGTCACATACGGTAACACGCAGGCACATATAGCCACATACAGTCACATACAGTCACACACAGGCACATATAGTCACATACAGTCACACACAGGCACATATAGTCACATACAGCCACATACAGTCACACGCAGGCACATATAGTCACATACAGTCACACACAGTCACACACAGGCACACAAAGTCACATATAGTCACACACAGGCACATATAGTCACATACACATACAGTCGCATATAGTCACATACAGTCACACACAGTAACACAAAGGCACATATAGTCACATACAGCCACACACTGTCACATATAGTCACATACAGTCACATACAGTCACATACAGTCACACTCAGGCACATTTAGTCACATACAGTCACACTCCAGGCACATATAGTCACATACAGTCACACACACACAAGCACTTACAGTCACATACAATCACATACAGTCACATACAGGCACATATAGTCACATACAGTCACATACAGCCACACACAGGCACAGATAGTCACATACAGTCACACACAGGCACAGATAACCACATACAGTCACATACAGTCACCTATAGTCACATACAGTCACACACGGGCGCAGATAGTCACATACAGTCACACACATGCACACATAGCCACATACAGTAACATACAGTCACATATAGTCACATACAGTCACATACAGTCACACACAGGCACACACAGTCACACACAGGCACACACAGACACATACAGTCGCATACAGCCACACACAGACACATATAGTCACATACAGTCACATACAGTCACACACAGGCACAGATAGTCACACACAAGCACATATAGTCACACACCACATACAGTCACATAGAGCCACACACAGGCACATATAGCCAAATACAGTCACATACAGTCACACACAGGCACATACAGTCACATACAGCTACACACAGTCACATATAGTCACACACAGGCAAATACAGTCACATAGAGGCACATAAAATCACATACAGTCACATGCAGGCACATATAGTCACATATAGTCACATACAGTCACACACAGGCACATATAGTCACATACAGCCACATACAGTCACACGCAGGCACATATAGTCACAGTCACATACAGTCACACACAGTCACACACAGGCACATAAAGTCACATATAGTCACACACAGGCACATATAGTCACATACACATACAGTCGCATATAGTCACATACAGTCACATACAGGCACATATAGTCACATACAGTCACACACAGTCACACACAGGCACAAAAAGGCACATACAGCCACATACAGTCACACACAGGCACACACAGTCACACACAGGCACATATAGCCACACACAGTCACACACAGGCACATATAGCCACATACAGTCACATACAGTCACACACAGGGACATTTAGTCACATACAGTCACACACAGGCACATATAGTCACACGCGACGTATAGTCACACACAGTCACATACAGGCACATATAGGCACATATAGTCACATACAGTCACACACAGGCACATATAGCCACATACAGCCACATACAGTCACACACAGGCACAGAGAGTCGCATACAGTCACGCACAGGCACATGTAGTCACATACAGTCACATTCAGGCACATATAGTCACATATACTTACATACAGTCAGATACAGTCAGACACCAGACACATATAGTCACATACAGCCACACGCAGTCACACACAGGCACATATAGTCACATACAGTCACACACAGGCACATATAGTCACTTACAGTCACATGGAGTCACATATAGTCACATATAGTCACATACAGTCACATACAGTCACACACAGGCACATATAGTCACACACAGTCACACACAGGCACATATAGCCACATACAGTCACACACACGCATATATAGTCACATACAGTCACATGCAATCACACACAGGCACATATAGTCACATACAGTCATACACGGGCACATACAGTCACATACAGTCACATACAGACACACACAGGCACATGTAGTCATATACAGTCACACACAGGCACTTCAAGTCACATACAGTCACATACAGACACACACAGGCACATATAGTCACAGTCACATACAGTCACACACAGGCACATATAGTCACATACAGTCACGTGCAGTCACACACAGGCACATAAAGTCACATACAGCCACATACAGTCACACACAGGCACAGATAGTCGCATACAGTCACACACAGGCACAGATAGTCACATACAGTCACATACAGGCACACATAGTCACATACAGTCACATACAGTCACACACAGGCACATATAGTCACATACAGTCACATTCAGGCACATATAGTCACATATAGTCACATACAGTCACACACAGTCAGACACCAGACACATATAGTCACATACAGCCACACGCAGTCACACACAGGCACATATAGTCACATACAGTCACACACAGGCACATATAGTCACATACAGTCACATGCAGTCACATATAGTCACATATAGTCACATACAGTCACACACAGGCACATATAGCCACATACAGTCACATACAGTCACACACAGGCACATAAAGTCACATACAGGCACATATAGTCACATGCAATCACACACAGGCACATAAAGTCACATACAGTCACGCACAGGCACATATAGTCACATACAGTCACACATAGTCACATGCAGTCACATATAGTCACATACAGTCGCACACATGCACATAAAGTCACATACAGTCACACACAGTCACACACAGGCGCATATAGTCACATACAGTGACACACAGGCACATATAGTCACATACAGTCACATTCAGTCCTACCTCGTCACCTCGTGGTTAAGTAGAAAAATTAATTTGGCTGCCTCGCCCCTTTATTTTTTTCTTCGGGGTTTGTGGGCCCGTTGTCCTCACCAGCTGCATGGACTACAAGGACATCTGGACATCCATTTCAGGAGGATGGCACGAATGTCTAGAAGTTTTGGTCGTGACAGAAATGCGGAAGGAAAAAGCGGAACGACCAAACGACCAAGTCCTCCCGTCACCAAGTCCAGACTTTCGGATCAGAAGCAACACATGACACGAAGCCATGGCAGATCAGGTGTCAAATTGTCCGCATGCCACGTTTTGCCATGTCATCCTCAAGCATTCACTAAAATTTTCACGTGGCCAAGAGTTTCACGGTGGTTGATTCGAAGGATTTTGCAAATGTCGCCACGCAGGATCTCAAAAGCATTTGACACGCAGATTGCATACATCGTCTTGCGGCTGTGCAGTCAACGACTCCGAGTGACTATGTGGACCTATGCGACTATATGTAACTATAGTGCCTGTATGTGACTGTATGTGACTGTATGTGACTGTATGTGACTGTATGTGACTGTATGTGACTGTATGTGACTGTATTTGACTGTATGTGACTGTATGTGACTGTGTGTGTGTGACTGTATGTGACCTGCAAGAATTATAGTGGGCCCAGCCGGGGTGACGGGGTGGAGTTAGCAAACTAGCGAAGTAAATTAGTTAATTGCGCTCCAAACGAGGCAATGGTTTTTGTTGACTTCGTGAGTGGCAAATGAGTTAAAATCTTTTCAGCAACTGGAAAGTATTTTCTGGCATCACAAGGTCTCGTCTAGGAGCCATGGAAGGAACAAACTTTTCAGCTTGTGAAAAGTTTTTTCTTGCATGTTGGCCCCACAGCATTTGGCCGAGGCCAGGGAGAGACTGAGCTGTTTGGCGAGCCACGGGCAGGCTCCAGGTGCTTGGCTTCCATTCCGAAAGACTGTTTGCTTCGTGCAGTCGGTTCTGCGACAGAGGCTTGCTGCTCCAAAAGACAAGACAAGACAAGACAAGACAGACACCTGTGACGTGCTTTGCTTCGCTGATCTGAAACTTGTGACATGCTTTGGCCGTTTTGCCTTGTGCAGGATGGCGCCTGGACCTTCCAAGAGTGGAGACATCAGACGGGCAGAAGGGTTTCGTTATCATGTCAGATGCGGGGGAGGCCGGGTCAACGAGCCCGTGTCTTTGTGTTTTCCACGCAAACCTTTTTTGCAGGGTTCGAGAGGCATGTTTTCGTGTTGTCATGTTCATGCCACCTCTGCGATGGCTCAGGCACTCCTCGTGTCGCCCAGCAGCTTGGCATCGCTCACAGCGTGGAGCTTGCGGAACAAGTGGATCCTATGACTGTGCCTGCCCAAAGTGAGGCCGAGATTGCTCAGGACACCCTGCAGTTGTTGGTAAGTTGGCTCCCCTGTGAATGGGTTCCCCCGAATGGAAAATATCAAGTTTGGAAAAAAACTCTTCGACATCCGGAAAGTTTTTTCTGCAAGGTACGTGAGATTACCCAATGCTGCGGGGCCAACATGCAAGAAAAAACTTTTCACAAGCTGAAAAGTTTGTTCCTTCCATGGCTCCTAGACGAGACCCTGTGATGCCAGAAAAACTTTCCAGCTGCTGAAAAGATTTTGACTCATTTGCCACTCACGAAGTCAACAAAAACCATTGCCTCGTTTGGAGCGAAATTCACTAATTTACTTCGCTAGTTTGCTAACTCCACCCCGTCACCCCGGCTGGGCCCACTATAATTCTTGCAGGTCACATACAGTCACACACACAGGCACATATAGTCACATACAGGCACATATAGTCACATACAGTCACATACAGTCACATACAGTCACATACAGTCACATACAGTCACATACAGTCACATACAGGCACTATAGTTACATATAGTCGCATAGGTCCACATAGTCACTCGGAGTCGTTGACTGCACAGCCGCAAGATGATGTATGCAATCTGCGTGTCAAATGCTTTTGAGATCCTGCGTGGCGACATTTGCAAAATCCTTCGAATCAACCACCGTGAAACTCTTGGCCACGTGAAAATTTTAGTGAATGCTTGAGGATGACATGGCAAAACGTGGCATGCGGACAATTTGACACCTGATCTGCCATGGCTTCGTGTCATGTGTTGCTTCTGATCCGAAAGTCTGGACTTGGTGACGGGAGGACTTGGTCGTTTGGTCGTTCCGCTTTTTCCTTCCGCATTTCTGTCACGACCAAAACTTCTAGACATTCGTGCCATCCTCCTGAAATGGATGTCCAGATGTCCTTGTAGTCCGTGCAGCAACCCACTATAACCCACCTACCCTTTTGGTTTCCAACCGAATCCAATTGATACCTTACAGGTTCGCATCTCACCTTTTCTTAAGTTACACATATTTAATGGGAATTCGAATAGTCTCATTCACGGAAAATCACTGGATGGTCCTTGGGCCAAGGTGCTGATAGATCCGGGCTCGGGATCGGCTCTGGGATTTTCACTGGAGACACCGGGACAACCTCACCTCGGTTGAGGTGTGGCGCCCTGAGACCCATAACACGTCCAAACAACTCACTTACCCGTTGCAATGGCAATGCGAAGCACAATATGCCACAACAACTCCACAACATACGACAGGCATACGAGAGGCATTTCAGGCATTGCACCCCGTGAACAAGCCACGACTGTTTGCAGCATTTGCAGCACTGCATCCTCAAGGCCGTGGCCTGTTTTTCGTGGTAAAGCTGTCAGGTACTTCACGAAGTCCTGCCGATTCTCGTGTCGTGAAAATCCAGTGCGTCGTGTGCTGGCAAGACATGTGCACATACTAGGCATTTTGTGGGTATGTGTGAGTGAGTGAGTGAGTGAGTGAGTGAGTGAGTGAGTGAGTGAGTGAGTGAGTGAGTGAGTGAGTGAGTGAGTGAGTGAGTGAGTAGTGAGTGAGTGAAGATGAGTGAAGATGAGTGAAGGTGAGTG